GTCGGGCCAAAAATATGTACATAAATTACATGCAGAATTATTAGCACTGATGAAGATCCGGGCTTACGGATCGAAAGCTTTGCAGTAATAAATTTATGTGGTGTTCGAACAAACAAAACTATTATTAAAAAATGTAATTCAGCAAAAAATTACTGAAAATCATAGTACAAAAATACTACTGAAAAATTGTACAAAATTCGGTAAGTTACATAGTGAAAAATGGTATGTCCGAACATTTTTTTCAACAATTTGGGGAAAAGAAATATTAATTAGCGACCGAAATGTCCGTCTTCCTGGGGGAAGGGCAAAATGTGATCCGTAAGAGGGGGGGGGGGGCAAGAAAGGAGCTTGTATATTAAAAAAGGTTCTGGATTTTGTCTATGATTTTCGAAATGATGAAAACTAAGAGAAATGCCCAATGGCAATGTTTCTGCAATCTTTATAATTTTTGCCTTAAGCCATTATCATTCATATAAAGGTGTTCTTTATAAATGGCAAAGTTTAAAAGCAATTCAAACATTCACTAATAATTCATGAGCTTGATTGGAAAATCATGTAATCATAATATGTCACGTGTAGTGGTTTTAAACTTGATAAAACACTCCTAATTAGCATTCTTTATATAAAGAATACTAATAAGGCAGTATATCTATTGAGTTTGTAGTCGTGTTTGAAGCCGTTTCATAAACTTGCAGGTCGTGTCTTATTAGGTGTGAAATATTGCATATTAATTTCATACGCTAATTAGTATTCCCATACTTCACTACTGGGGCAAGCAAAGGGTCTATTGGGGCAAATTCCCCATATAGTTAAAAAATGCATGCCCTGGTTTGACCGCATGAAAGAAAAGATTTAACCCCTCTTTTGATATTATTATGATGCATGTGCATGTATAATATACCGTTGTCAGATTTTTTGTTCTCTTCAATTTCCCAGTTGTCTTTAGTAATCTCTTTCAAACGGTAAACAGGAAGACCAGCACAAAATTTGACTACTGTAGGATGTAACTTTTTAGCTTCCAGTTTTTTATCAGGGGTCCATTCAGAGGTGGTCACTACTGTTTCCGGTTTTGAAATTTGAGTTCGCATACGTTTCACCTAAATTAAATAATTATATAGAATCATCCTTTTGCTGTTTAAAGTATGCCAATACAGTCACGCTTGAATATAGTTATTAAAATATTGCAAATTCTCATTAGCACATTTTTTGAGTATTTAAAAAAATATAAAATAAAAACCGAGAACATTCTTGTATTTATTAAGGAATATATTTCAGTCACCATCATGCAGGATAAACTACAATCGCGAATATAACTTGTTAATAAATTTTAATTTGTCTCTGTGAGAGTTTAAATTGTAGTTTAATTCGTGTATTTTGTCTAAAACATCCTCCCTTCCCCCAACACAATGTTGTTGAACTACGTTTAAAGTAAGAGGTAAATCATGGCAACATTGGGTGGGGGAGGGGGGGGGGGGCTGTATGAAGTAATTTGATTGTATTTTCCTAAAATGTCTATCGATTTTATATTAACCCCTTTGGCCATGATTGTAGGTTATACATCGGTATAGCTGCAGTATTTATCTTAATGCATTTCATGTCAGATTTCATTTTTCTGGGGCTTGGTAGGCTTTTGTCCAGAGGTTTGATGTAACATACCCCCACATCAGGTAAGCGAGTGATTGTTAAGTTCTGTAAAAAATTATAGCACAGTAAACTTTACAAATTACAGATTTTATATCTTTCACTATTGCAAAAAGAAAATATTAAACACAGCACACATGCAGAGCATGCACATTAATTTGTTTGCTTACCAGATTGAATTCGTTCAGCACTTCAGAGCGATCAAAATTATTGTGTTTTGGTACCACAAAACGCACAGTATTTTCTTTTTCATTGATTTTCACCTTTTCACTAAAACGCGTTCCATTTTCGTTTATGCGAACTTTAAATTTGGCATCCTTTTCCTGTAGTTCACGAACGAAAAAATGCAGAAACCACGTATAAATATTTAAAAACATGAGAAAATAGCGTTACTGAGTTTTTGAATATATAAATATGCCACAAACCTTGCGGGAACCAACGACGAAATGCAAAGCAAGAAACACCAACAGACCACAAGTAATCAAACTTGCTGACTTATTCATTTTCTTTTGTCAGGAAATTTCTTTTCCTTGAAGAGTAATGAATATCAATTTCTTCTAACTTTAAAAACTTGTCTGCAGCTCAATAGAACGGTGGAATCTGAAGTTTGGAGTTATCCTCAAGGCTTTTTATAGCAACTTCTCAATTTTTTAGGTCAAAACGGAAACTTCTCCGTTGACATATTACACACCTTGATCGTAATAATTTGCTGCAGGAAGATCGAAGTAATGAATATGATTGGTTAAAAGAAAGTAAATATTGATATCTTACGTATATTCATTATTAAAATATTAATAACTGAATTCTTGGCCTTGACCTTAGTCATTACTGTCATTTTATATTATTTGTTATAGTAAGTACTTTAATTAAGCGGATTCAGATATAATTCATTCACATTTTGCTGGTAAAGCATGCAGAAAAGCATACATTTGTTTAATGTACTGTAGCTCTAAACAATTATATTATTTCGAAAGCAAATATGAAAAAGCCCTGTTTCAAAACGTCAAATTTTGTGCTTGTCAAATTCAATCCACAACTATTTACTATGCCGAGCTAGTGCATGACAACCAGTTCTGGTAAATTAAAATGTTGAATTAAATTTGCATCTTTTTAATTAATTGCGTCTTTGTGACGTTTAAATCATGTCACCAACTAACATTTTCGAACGTCGAATTTCCGAAATTCACATAAATCCTAAATATTTAATTGGACGTGCACGAAAACGGGTAAAATATTAAATTTTTTACACAAATATGTCATGCAATTTTTCGCAATATGATTTCATGCATGCATGCATGCATGCATGCAGGAAATAAAAATCGCAGTGTTCCGAGATAAACTAGTTCCTTTTTAGATCAAGTGTGACATCTTGAAGTGCATTGTGTAATAAACCTTTCCCCTTATAACCAAAATTTTGATCTAAGCAAGTCTAGACAAAAAATTTCATCACAGCTTGGAAGAGCATCACAAAATTAGTAATATTCCAAAGTTTCGTTGCGAAATGTTGTAAAGTGAGGGAAATAGAGCCTTGCGAAGTTTGCAATTTTCAGTCATTTTGCATTACAAACAGGAAATTGCAGCCCCAACACCCGAATCGTATGTCAATTTCCCGTTTGTAATACAAAATGACTGAAAAACGGCAAACTTCGCAAGGTTATATTATCTGCATTTTACAAGATTTTGCAACAAAACTTTGGAATATTACTAATTTTGTGATGCTCTTTCAAGCTGTGATGAAATTGTTGTCTAGATCGAAATCTTAGTTAAAAGGGGAAAGGTCCATTAGCCGCTCGTCAAGGAAGGTTGAAATTGCAAATCAAGCCCCGTTTACCGCACTATAGTCTATACGCTCAATTTTTGGTACGGCACGGTTAAAATTGGTACCCGTACCACCTTTTTTGGTTCTTGGACTATCTATTTGAGCCCCGTTTACACTACGCTCAATTTTTGGTACCGTACCTTGGTTTTTGGACTATATCCTAAATAGGTAGTCCAAGAACCAAAAGTGGTACGGGTACCGATTTTATCCGTGCCGTACCAAAAATTGAGCGTCGCGTAGTGTAAACGGGACTTTAGATGCAGATTTCCAAAGGTATCATCGATCAGTCTACAAACAATTAGTATATAATCATGCAGCTGTCTTTCATGAAAAATAGTGACTTGTGATTTTATAAACTTTACTTTAATTTTATGATTAACCTAGCTGCATGCTGTGTTTGAATATGTGCTAAATCAACAAACACTAAACAGTGTCAAAATAACACGGTTTTTCCCGTTAATGATGTCCATCTTTACGGCGTAACATGCATGCCTGCATGCAAATATACTTTTTGATGTCTTAGGCCCGTTTCAAGGTCCATACACACCGGACGCAAATCGACAACGCGACGCGATTTTTTAGTTTTTGAAAGTTAATAAAACAGCCAATGAGAGCAAATTTTGAAAGGTATGTATACACCAAATAACTCAAAATGTTATCACGCTTCTAAATATTTGGAAAATTTAAACTAGGATCAAAGTTATCGTTCAATGAAAATCGAAAAATCGCGTTGCGTTGTCGAATCGCGTTCGCGGTGTGTATGGACCTTTAGACGCCGCGGCGAACTTTTCATGTGCCAAATGCGCTAAGGACAATATTGTCAATAAATAATGAGGTAGTTCAGATGATTATCTATTGTTTTTAATGCATTCGGAACATGAAAAATTCGACGTCTGAAACGGAAACTCTAAAAACATTATGGTGGTTAAAATTTCAAAGTTAACCAAAAAATAATCCTATTTGCATGGGTTAACTTAATACTTTTGTTTTAACCTGTCTCATGCTTTTTTGACCCATCTGAAAGTGGTAACGCTATTTACATATTTCAGCTTAGAGCACAGAAGCATGCATACGACGATTTGTTAATTTTGTTTAATTAATCCGGCTCTATAAAGATGATTTTTCAAAAGCACAATATGATCAATCCACATTATTTAAGTTCGAGCAAGATCGAAGCAAATTAAAACGTCGATGAATCCATTTTCCACGTTTCGAACTGACTTAAACTTGTCCACGTGCAGACATTAATATCCCATGACAACTTGCAAATTGCATTCCCGATTGAAGGAATTAATTAAAATCTGTGTTGGATCCGATGTATAGTGTCACATCCTAAAGTGTGCGCTGTTTGTCCGTACTGCTGAAGGAACATCAAAAATGCAAATATGACGACAAAATTGATATCGTGTTCCTATAATGATCGATTTTGTGGGAAAATTTATGTTGCGGAAAAAATTAATTATGTTGTGGAATTCTTAGCCTGTGCACATCCTGTATTACCCTGTAGTACAGGGTAATACAGGATGTGCACAGGCTATGGAATTCTTCGAGCTGAACATTATCTGCATCAGACTATAAATAAAACCAATTTTTTCCCTCAGTATTTTCCCAACTGAAGTGAGATATTTAACTATAGGGTATATCAAGTAAATGAGGGTGTCGATGGGGTATATCATGCCTGAGTCGTGCCATTCACTCAATTTCGGTTACCGCCCGTGAAAACACTAAAAATTTACCGTGAAGCGTGAGGAAAAAAATACTGTTTATCGTTTCAGAGCACTTTTCAAAGATTTACCGTTAAAATACCAAAATATTACCGTTAAAATACCAATAATAATTACCAAAGTTTTTATCGTTAACTGATTTTCAGACCCCCCCCCCCCC